GAGGTGGATGTCTGACTTGAAATTTCCATGTGCTAACAAAGTGAGAACATAATAGTTTTCAAGACTTCTACACAGAAAGAGTTTTATACAAACACTGTATTCCATCATGCCTTTGTTAGAGCAAATCAAAAACAAAAACAATGCTGCTGTTAGTGTCCCTGGCTGATGACTGCATACGACTGTTGTGATTGACCCTGGATTCTAATTGCTGGTGTGTGGTGGCCCTTGTCTGCCTGACTCTTACCCCAGGGAGAATCTTCTTCCCACTCTCCGTTTACCACTGGGCAGGTCCTAGCCTGCTCTTTGTTACAGAGTGCATTGTTGTCATGGTACTCTGTTGCATCCTCTTAGGTTATAAAGAGAAAAAGAAAAGTCCTAGAGCCTCTCCCTCCCACCTTCCTCCACGTGGAAGTAATAAAAGTCCTTGGCAGCCATGCTGCCTGTTATCAGTATGGGGTCATTTTACAAGTGACCATGAAAGAGCCATTTGTTGAACGTCCACCTTGTGACCGGTACGTGCTGATGGCCTGATATGCTTTGCCTCCCTTCAGTCTGTAGCCATCTTTAGGAGGGGGGAGAAATGAAAAAGCAGGCTTGCTGTCCACCATTGTTAAAGGAAAGCTTGTAACTGGAGCTTCCTATCCAATAGGTTTGTATTTAGCACCAAGACCAGTTGAGGGGGAGGGGCAGAGCTGCCTCAGACACAAGTAGGTGAGCAATACATTTTGAGATTACCTAGAGGGCTCTTGAAAGTGAAGGTGGGGTCTCCTGCCAGATTTGCATGGAATCAAGTGTGGAAGAGTTAGTGTTTTGACCCAGTGATACATGATAAGGCGTCCATGGGTACACTGTGTGAGGGGTTTTGTTTTTCTTCCTTTCATCAGAATTTGAAACCAGGCTAGAGTGAACACTTCTGGGTGGTTTAAACTTCCTTCCATGGCTATTCCAAAATTTCTGATTCGAAGCCATTGCTCTTATAAAATTACTTGACTGAAAGTGGCTTTTAAAAAATTTTTTATTCCTGACCATTCCTGAACTTCTGTATTTCTGCAGAATTGTTGGCCTCAGGTCTGAAGGCTAAACTCAAGTTACTTCTTTCTGTTTGTGCTGTTGGTGCTTGTTCTATGAGACAGACTTTTCTTTCTCTCTTCAAAATTCCTTGTGGTTTTTTTTTTTTTTTTTGTTGTTAGAAAATTTATTTTGTATTCATTTATTTTTCCATAATTTTATTGAGAAACAAATAGCAATGAGACAGTTTGTGTCTTGAAATACTGAAAAGTTTGTCACCCAATTAAAAAGTGACGCTGAGGTGATTTCTAAATGGAGGTCTCCCTAACAAAAAGAAAACGCACAATCACACTCTTAACTTTAGAGAAGGAGCAGACCAGGGAGTGTTAGAGAGCAGGGTGTGGAGGGTGGGGGACACCTGGCAGCTCAGAAGTAGGTGAGTTAGCTCACACAGGCAAAAGGCAGGGCTGTTGTGGGCTGCACCCACACTGAGTCCACTAATGGTGCTGTATATAATTCAGACATATTTAAGGTGATAGAGTGTTTAGTGTGCTCACCATCAGTTTCAGAAAGTTGTAGAATTTTACACAAAACCCACTGTGGCATCTTCTACCCAAGGCAGAAGCACCTTGCCTTAATGGCCCCCCTTTTGTGTGGGCTCAGGTTTAATCCTAGCACCTCACCTTTTGGTGCTCCTTGCTGAGAGCCCCAGGAGGGGTTAGTCATCTCTTCGTCCTAGTGAATTTATTGGTGAAAGAATGAAGCAAAATTAATCGTAATGTTTCATAGTTATAACAGGTCTTCGACGTTCACAGGGAGCTTTTCATACAGGTTATCTTTCTTGTGCATCTCAGCAACTCTGTGAGTTAGGTGTGACGGGAATTATTAACACTTTTATTATGCACTAAATTTAGAATCAGACAAATATGTGACCAGCTGGAGTTAAGTAGAATTTAAAAAAAATGTGTTCTAAATGAGCCGGAAAGAAAAAAATTAAACACACATATATCACCCCTCAAATAAAGCCCGTGTTCGCCTAACATTCCTTCCTGTCATCCCAAACAGTTCTGCGGTTTTAATTCCAACACAGAGGCAGGTTGGTTATTTATTGTAATATGAACTAAGCTATCACCCATGCAAGATCATTGAGGAGGCTTTTGCGACCCAAGGCTTTGTGTCTCAGGCCTGCTGGCAGGAAGCTTGGTCATCTGGTCAACCTACTCCTCCCTCACCTTTTCCTAGCCCCACATCCACTAGATTATTAAAAAGCCCGTTGGGCCAACTACTTTTCTTTTTAATCTGTGGCTTCCTTAAAGCTGCTGTCTGGCCCCAACTCAGGTGCCCAGTGGTTCTCCTCATGTCGGCAGTGGGCTTGTAGGTTGGTTTTCTTGCCTCATACTCCTGCCATCTTTCATATGCTGTGAGGGCTTAAAACTCTTGAAGAGTTCAACACTTTCTTTGGAATGTAGTTCATGCTAGAACATAAGGCTTTGGTTCCTGACCTTATCCTACCACCCACTTTCATTTCAAAGCCCAGGTACTAGTGTTCTTGCAGACTCATTTGTTCCCAGCATTCTTCTGTGCCTTTGTGTTGTTTTTGGCTTTGTTTGGAGCATTTGTCTCTCTGCGCTTAAACCCCCTTAGTCATGTGCTGAATTACTATTGGTTCTTTAAAAATTGGCTCTATCTTTTCTTCTCCTTTGGCTTTTCTGGTCTCCCTTCCTGCCAAACTTGGCTATACTCATCTTTACACCGTAACTCCTTTCTCAGAGTTCCACTGTGAAACTTCAAGTAGATTGAGTTTTCTGGGAATGAAATTTGAGTCCAAAGCCTGGGAGCATAGGGCAAGAGTCCCTTCATGATCATTATGGTAAACGTGGGCCACGGGCTGGCCAGTGTTTGGCTCCACATGGCCCCAACCCTAAGGTGAGACGTGGTTGGCTCTAACGCAGTTGGGCTACTCAGCTACGCAAATATGCCACGAGTTAGCAGTGCTACTAGAGTGCTTTGGAAGCCATAAAAAATACTTTCCCCATCAAATGATCCTTATTTAATGAGTCGCATCAGGAATCGATAGTAATGGGGAGCATAAATTTTCTGTTTTTCCATTCATGTAGGAATAAGTTTCTTTTCATGCAGATTCTAGAGTTTGGTTCTGATTGAACATGGATTTGTGTTTTTACCCCAAAAAGACAACGTGGAATTTTGTCACCTGTCTGATACTGAATAGTCAAAATAATCTTGCATTAAATCAGGAGCATGCTTTTGACAATGTTTGTGAAAACCTTTATATTTGGGCTTCAAAAATCTTTGTATAATTTTTTTTTTTTAAAGTGTATTTGGAATAGGGTCTCACTACACAGTTGGGATTAATAGTGATTATCCTGTTTTCAGCCTCCCCAGCACTGGGATTACAGGCATGTGCCACCACACCCAGTCTTGATGACCAGCTTAGTGTGCCTGGGGGCAGGGCCAGCGCTGCATGTGATGCTGGGGATTGAATCAAAGTCCCCACACTTGCCTAAACAGGTGCTTAATCCACTGAGCTATCTTTGCCAGCCCTGTATAATTTGTTATAGTTGCCAACTCACAGTAAATAATTGCTAGGACCTCTGAGATACACTGCAAAGGGAACCGTCTTTTAGGCATTTTTGGCTTGCACATGTGTGCTTGGTGGTAGTTTCTATATCATATTGTAATTTTGATGGCGTATGAGTCTTTCAGCAGTTGATGATGTCTGTTTTCTGCTACTTTTAAGATCTTTATTTGTTTGTGTTAGAGTTTTTTTTAACATAGATATAAGACTTAGTTTACTATAGCTTTGTGTGTATGTGGAGGGAGAGCCGAGCAGTAGAATTTGTGATTATACTTACAAGAAATAGAAAATGATCATTATTTTTTCCTTTTTTTCTAAATTCTTTAAATATCTTGAAATTGTATTTCTCAGCCACTCATGCTATTCCAGTAGTCACTAATGTGGTCACAGGAATATTTGAGTTGCCTGAACTTTCTTTTTGTGAGGACATATTTGAAAAATGAGAAGGATTTTAAGCATGAACACATTAATCAAAATAAATTAAGTTTGTTATATAGACTTGTACACTTTTGTGAGAATGAGTAAAAATAACATCTGGATTATCTATATCACTCTTTATTGCAGATATTGAAAATTGATTTTTATTCTAGATTGAAATCCATTCCATAAGTATATAGACTCATTCACGTATAAGAGAGTTAAGGTCTTCATTCTTCCTCACTAAAAACTAACAACAACAACAGCAACATTTATTTTACTTTTTGATCAGCAGAGTTCACTGACTATAGTTACTTCCTAGTTTTTTTTGCGGAACCAGGGATTGAACTCAGGCCCTTGCGCTTGCCAGGGAAGCGCTTATTCTACTGAGCTATCTCCCAGGCTCCTAGTCTGATATTTATGAGTAGAGTGAGGAGTGACCTTGGTAGTTGCATTGGTTGCTTTCTTTTTTCCATTATGATACCCCCTTTCCCAGATTCCCATGCTGTGTTCACCCCGTGGTATTTGGAAACTTGAGGAATGGATGTCTAGAACAATCAGCTGTGATTATTTTTATTTCCTGCATCACTGTAGTTATCAAAGTTACATACATAAAAGGTATTAATTGGACAAGGCCAAATAAGGCTTCCATTTCATTTATTTCCTTTCTAAGCCTGGGTCCCCCTTATCATTAAGAAATGCTTTATAACATCACATTAATTGGCTTTCTTTACTAAAAACATTGGCTAAAGTGTTCTTCAAAATAGCCAATGAACAAAGGATAATTTTAGTGATAATTTCTATCACTATTTGAAAATGTTATAGAGGGAATTTAAAGGTTGGTGAGAGAATGATTTATATGACTTTTTAATGTTCTTCATCCTTAATACATCCCAAGATTCCAAAATGAGGTTGTAAGGGTAGCTAGGAAATGCTAGCAGCCTTAGTTACAGTGTCTTTGTTTGTTGGTTTGTCACAGACTGCCTTTTCAAGGTGTGTCCCATGAATCGATATTCTGCCCAGAAGCAGTATTGGAAAGCGAAGCAAGCCAAACAAGGAAACCACACAGAGGCTGCCTTGCTGAAGAAGCTCCAGGTATGAGCCAGGCTGCGTTTGTCTTGTTTAAACTGGACCAGGAACAGCAACAACAGAAAGATGTTCTCGTTATTCCCAACTTCTTAGTTTTGTAATCTCACACAGTACACAGAGATTTCAGGTGAATATAAGAATACATTGAAAGGTAGAGTTTTAAGTTTTAGGGTGTGACTACCTTATTTCTTGGAGTGTAGGTAGCACATTCCTACTGCTTTATTTTTTATTTTTTATTTTTTTTAGGGTGTGCCAGACTAATTCAAGCTTCACATCAAACTGAAAACCAGTTCAGAATTTCTGTGGGAAAATTAAATCCAGTTGTGTTTTTACCTGACCTAGCGCTCAATTTATTTTTTTTCAATCTGAAAGAGTTGGGAAAAGTATTTGAAAGAGTATAGTTTCTGGTTTGGTAGAGTACAAATGGAATAGGTCTTAATTTTATATCATTAAAACTCCTGTTATTTTCAGAATTAAAAACAGCTTTTCATCTTCTGCAGTTCACCTGCTATCTGGGTTGGTGTTTCTACTAACATTCCTTCCTACAGTCATCTTGTAAGTCTAAAAACCTGGCACTTTTCTGGAAGTGTTAATATAAAAGTGCCTTAAGACATTTTTGGCTGCATTTCAGCATAAATTGAGTAATTTTCCCGCTGTGTTATGATCATTAATTTAATTATTATCCCCTTCCTGCTTCTCTCCCCAAGCTTCAAAGAGTAAAGCAACTGTTCCATTTTATTTGTGATTCTATTCTTGTTACTAAAAATATTTATTTCTTTGTCACTTATTATATTCTGTTTATTATGTTTCCACACTGAATATTTGTTAATCATAGCATGCTGCAGAGCTGGAACAAAAACAGAATGAATCAGAGAATAAGAAGCTGTTGGGAGAAATTGTGAAATACAGTAATGTTATACAAGTAAGTTTCTATTTATTTTCTCTTAAAAAGGGTGAATGTTTTGTGGGTAATTTTCCAAATTGTCCATATGGGTTAGAATGGCAAACTCATGAAAAATGTTGAGCTACAATAGTTGGTTCTTGGGGGCTGGTGAGACAGCTCAGCATGCCTGCTTAGGCAAACTTAGGCAAGTGCAGGGACTGCGATTCGATCCCTGGTGCCACATGCCACACCAGACCCACTCACTCCCATGGGAGACTGAGCCGGCCACAGAGTCTGGGCTTGGTGGCACATACTTATAGTCCCAGTGCTGGGGAGGCTGAAAACAGGAGGATCACTGTGGCACATACTTATAATCCCAGTGCTGGGGAGGCTGAAAACAGGAGGATCACTATGCAGTCTAAACTGCATAGTGAGACCCTGTAACAACCAAATACATTTAAAAAAAAAAAAAAAGTTGGTTCTTCAGTAGAAATTATGGCGGGTGTGAGTAGTGGACACTCTTGTATGGTGCTGTGCATTAAAGAGCAAGCTGGGACTAGAGGTCTAGATTAGTTCATGGTGAAGCACTTGGCTAGGGTGTGTGGTGCCTGGCTTCCATCCCAGGCACTACAAACAACTACTCAGTCTGATGGATAAACTTCAAGAAATAATGTATCTTGATGTTTGCATAATTAATTACCCGAAAAGAAAAAAATTGGGGAAATAATTTGTAAGGGGCTATCAGAAATAGTCCTTTAGATTAATGAAGTTAATGTTCAACATGGGGAATGTTATCTTTTCATTTTATAGGGAGGGGAAGGTTTTCAAAATGCACTGTGGAGGTCATCATTGGATTGTTGCCAGAAGGTCTCCTATTTCAAAGGAGTTTATCTCAGCTGCATTCCTTGCCTGTGCTTCCTTTAGATCTGTTTATCTTTTTTACTTGGTTATCTGTTAGTAAATGCCCCACCTTGTTCCAAAAATGTAAAACATTTTCCAAAATACACACCACACAGGCCAGCCAAATAGCGGATTAAAGTGCCTGCAAGCAGGTGAAGGGGCCAGGGGTTCAATCCCCTGGCCTACTGTGCTGGCCCCACCCCTGGGGCACACTGAGATGGTGATTGAGACTGGGCATGGTGACATGTGCTTGTAATCCCAGCTTTTGGGAGGCTATAAACAGGTGGATCACTGTGAGTCTGATCTAGTAGTGAGACCTTGAACACTCTTGTAGACCCTTCCCTAAAATACAAAAACAAACAAAAAAAGCCCCAAAATACACACCACAAAATATGATAAAATACAAATAATTAAGACTATTGGATTAGAGGGAAAAAGAATGACTGAATGAATAAGCTGAGGTTAGGGAAGAGGTATATTCATAAAAACCATGTTGTAAAGTCTGAAAACTTTGGCTTGAAGCCTTCTTGTCTGCCCAGCCATAGGGAAGTACAGTATGTTACAGCACTGGTAGGAGGCCCATGACACATATTCAAATCTGAGGTCTAGAAGCTCTACCATTCTAGCAGTAAGACCAGGGAAGTGTTTCTCCCAAGAATAGTTATAAAGAGGACACTGTTTAATATAGTAAACAATAGCCTTAACAACTTCCCTGCAGTAAGTATCACAAAGAGGTACTTCATGCAGCTGTTTTCAAAAATAATATCTCTTGGTATTTTGCTGTTGACCAGTGGCAACATGCCAGAGTACAAGGCAAGCAGTTCTCTTATGAGACAAGATGAGTAGCGTAGGGTTGGAGCTTCCAGAACGTGGACTTAATCTAGTGATAGACAGTATGATATCTTTGGCTTGGGAAGGCTGTGTGCCATTTGGGCAGTCCTCCAGAAACAGAGTTTTGATCCTTAAGTCCATCAAGTAGAGTTTATGTCCCTTGTTAAGAACCTGAAGTACCAGTGTCGGCTTGCCTGGGTAGGGGCCAGGCCATGGGTTGTAACATGGTAGAACCCAGAGGGGTGAGCAACTCACTAGGGGTTCTGTTGTTTTTCTGTCAAATGAGAACCCAAGGTATGATTGTGGCTTTTTCAATAAAAAAGCTTTTTTTTTTTTTTTTCCAATTAAAAAACTTGCCTTTTATTTTGAAATGCCTTCCTTTTCACAGCTAGGTACTCAGTGACCATTCTGTTTTGAAATGATTTTAGCAGTAGATGAGAGGCTTGCTGTACTTTGTTTTGATTTTTTTTTTTTTTTTTTTTACTCAGCAGGAATATATTTTAGAAAGATTTTGTCCATAGAATCCAAAAAAAATCTGAGAATATTGTTTCTGCACTCATTTCAGAAGAGGCAGGGTCAGCTTTCTCTTGGAGAAAGCACAGAGCCAAGTTAGGAAACATAACTCTCTCCTCCTGGAGGAAAGAAGGGCTGTCGTTGGGGAGGATGTTTAGTGGTGCTAAACAAGATGGTCCATTAGTCCAGTGTCTAGCTTTTCCTTTGCTGTTTTCTGTTTTTGTAGGCATTGGGAAAAGGTGTGGTTTGGGGGAATTTCAGGTCTGCTTTGGAAAGCCTGGTTTTATTCCATTATTTATCAGTAGATTGAAAAAAAAAAAAAAAGCACTCCTCTGTCCTCTGGTTTATTTCCTCATGTGCCCCTTTCATTATGGAGGAGAACTGGGTGCAGATGAAGAGGAATCCAAGGAAGAGTCAGCTTTTAAAGATTATACATATGTATGCAATTAACAGAGGAGACCAAGGAATAAAGGTAGTGATGCGTGTCTTTTCTCTGTAGCTACTACATATAAAAAGCAACAAATATCTGACTGTCAACAAGAGATTGCCTGCATTACTGGAGAAGAATGCCATGCGAGTGTCTTTGGATGCTGCAGGAAATGAAGGATCCTGGTTTTATATTCATCCCTTCTGGAAGCTGCGAAGTGAGGGTGACAATGTATGTAAATATCAAATTAATGGGGGAATAGCTTGTCAAAACAATCTTCCTCTGGAAGAGAGTCCAGAATGTACAAAGAATGAGAGTTTTTAATCAACCTGTTATTTTCGTGTTGCTATCTTTACAAGGCTCAATGCTTTATTTATAATACAGATTGTGCTCAGAAATTATCGAAAGACAGAATGCAAGTTAATTGAAAAGCAACGCCCAGCTAGAGCTGGGATGAAGGAGCTTAAGCCACCTTAGTACTGGCTGAGACGTTCTAAGAGAGGTAGAAGTTATCTCCTTGCCTTGAATGGAGGGAGCATGTTTGTAAGGAAAGTAGCTGTGACTAGCCAGTGGTGTCTGCCCAGTGAGAACCAACAGAATAAGGCCCTAGGTCATTGCAGTATTCCTGGTTCATGGGCAGCATCTTACAGCCCATATATTCTAATAGATGTCAACATAGGAGAAGCTGTATGTTTTGCCTCTACTTATTGATGACTGTTATACTTAAAATAAGTTGTGCATATTGTCACATAACATTATGTGAAATGACCTTGTAGCATCCACACTTTGATATTTTTGAGTGTGATAAATAAATACCAGGTGATAGTCTCTAGCACTGGGGAGATGCCTAATTAATGCTGGTTGACCCTGAATATGAAGTTACTATCATAAATAGAACAGTTTACAAATATTAGGCCAGGTAGAGATTTTAAAAATTAACACTGTATAGTCAAAATCAAAAGGTTAATTCTTTTGGTAGTTTTCTCAGTCAACCCTTTGATTATATTTTAAATGTTTTGGGTATTTCTTACCTTAGAAATGTCTTCTTTTTGTAGTGAGTCTATTTTCCAGTGAATTTCAGAATACGCATTCAATTCCACAGAAGGCAGCCTTCATGATTTACTTTGCTTAGTAAGTTATCTGGTGATATCTTCCATTGGTAAGACTTGGGACATGCATGGCATGAAGGAATGTGATGCATTTTACGTCTTGTGTTGCAGTTCTTACAACAGCAAGTCCTGTTTGTTTTTCTTTTGGCACCAAGTGATAGGTGGTGTGAGCATGCTGTGCATTTTAATTTAGTAGATAGTCACTTACAGTCAACTCTCAATTGTTCAGCCATGCAGTATGGGAATGACTCATGTCTTTGATGTCTTTCTTAAAATGCTTATTTTCCAATCCATGTCTCATTGAGTAGTGTCCCAGTCTCCTAGTGCTCTGTAAGAGTTAAACATCAACATGAACAAAACCTGATCTCAAGTTCAGAAAGAGTGGATAAAGGACTGGATATATTTGGGTCTTTAGATTAACTGTGGAGTTTACTAATTCACTCTATTTATTCATTCTCACCTGCCCACTTTCCCAATCACTTTACAGGGTCACTAGAGAGTTGAATGTAATGAACTATGTCAAATAGTTACTTGTAGTAGAAAATGAAACAAAGCAAAAGCCACCACTCAAATGCTCCATCTTGGTAAAAATGGACAATGGAATTATTCAGTGTGGTGTAGGAGTTGTCTTTGTCTAGGTGTGCTCCCTGTGGCATGGCGCCAGCAACCTCCACATTGCTTTTTTGGGCCAAAATAGCATGTTGTTGTTACTTGTCACTGTGTAGCCTTTGTGTGTCACCAAGGTTGCTGTGAAAAACCTGAGCACCCACAGCCACGTGGTTGTGTTGTAACCCTCATTTTCTTTCCCAGGAGTAGATAGTATTTTTCTCAAATATATGCTGTGCTGGCCCCACCCGCAGGGCATGGTGAGGTGGCAATTGAGACTAGGTGTGGTGGCACGTACCTGTTAAGCTCAGTGCTTGGGAGGCTGAAAATAGAAGGATCACTATGAGTCTGATCTGTGTAGTGATACCTTGTAGACCCTTCACTAAAATT